ATATATATATATATATATATATTATATATATATATATATATATTGTGTGTGAATGTGATATTTATTTGGCAATTAAAGTTGCTTTCATTTGTTTAAGCAAAACTTGGAAATTCAAAGAAGATCAAAACTCACAGAAGCTGAGCTGGAGGAGCTGGAGAGGAAAGAAACTGAGGTATCTGGCTCAAGAACTTTTCTCTATCAGTGATTCTTTGTTTTGCAATGAGGTCACAAAAAGTGAGGACTCGATAAAGTGTCGTGGTCATTATTTTAACAGCTGAAGTACAGAGACAGAGCTGCAGAGAGAAGGGAGAAGTATGGGGTTCCTGAACCTCCTGCACCAAAGAAGAAATTCTATAAACCACCAACTCCAACCATGTAAGACTCTCATTACACTGCAAACATCTGTGATTATTGTTGTTGTTTTTCCACAAATTTCATTTTTAACACCTTCGGTCATTCACCCTTCAACAGAAACTATGAGCAGCCCACCAAAGACGGCCTCACGAGTGATAACATCGGAAACAAAATGTTGCAAGCGATGGGCTGGCAGGAAGGCAAAGGTCTGGGGCGCCACCAGCAGGGCATCACCGCTCCCATCTCGGTGAGGACGACAACAACAATTCAATTATTTTGCATTTTTCTTATCTCCCTACCAGCTCCTGGCAGATGGAATATGCATGTCAATGTGTGTTGTTTTTTTTTCACTCGCATAGCAATTAGCAGTGTTACCTGAAGAGTAGCTGCACACAATCTGTCTCCGCTAATCACCGTCTTTTCCCCACAGGCTTCATTAAGGACCAAGGGCACAGGCTTGGGTATTAAAGGAAGCTCCTATGAACTCTCAGCATCCGACACCTACAAGGATGCTGTTCGAAAGGCCATGTTTGCACGCTTCACTGAAATAGAGTGAAAAGTAACCCTACTGAACCAGGAAATATTAATATATTGTGGACAAATGATACTGTGAATAGAAAGAGTTGCACAGACGCAAACTGTCATTTCCATCTTCTCCATGTATATAATGGTGTTTTATATAACTAAATATTTTGTCATTCCGAAGTATGTAAATGTAAATGTTGTATAGCGTTTGTACATACGATTATTCAGACCTGCTGAGGTTTTGTTTCTTTGAAAATCTAAAGAATCAACGTGACAAATAAATTTAACCTTTTGTGCTCAACAATACTTGATGTTTTCTCTCTTTACAAAACAAATTGTTACGAGAAAAATAAAATAATACAAAAAAATGTTGATTTCAAGGCACCAATATGCATTGAGAATGTTTCTTTCATGTCTTGGATATATACTGTAGGATCAGAAGTGGAGACTTAATTGTTAATAATGTTTGAGTATCCCTCAGACATTACGGCTTCAGCCTCCGCTATGGTTTTATGTTCCTTAAATCCACCTAGAGTTGTGCTTTAAGAGAATACCACGCTGTAATTGTAGTGACTTGGTCCTCCAGCCTGGAAGGTCTTGTTCTCTGTGCTCTTGTTTCTTTTAATACATCCACAATCCTTAGACTCACGGACAGGCTGGGCTTGTGTGTATAAATGCTCATTTACTTTTGTACCAACATATAGAACAGGCTCATCATACAAACACTGGAAGGATCCGATTCTCTGCTGAATCTCCATCTTTCATCCCCCGCTGGACATGTTGTCCATTATTTCTGCCAGACTCTCTATTGGCTGCCTTCATATCCTCTTTCCTGAGGCTTAATGGCCGACATGTTTTACCACCAGCTCTCTCTTCAGTGGGAATTCCAGTGACTTTGAAGATGCCGAACAGAATCTTTGCTGTTCGTTTTGGGGCATTCCACGTCTCTGCTATTTCTTGGAAGAACTGAGCGCGATAGCTTGAGGATAGACTGTTGTGTTAAGCCACAAAGATACAGTGCAGTAGCTCCTGCCACCTTAATGACTGTGTTCCTAGTTATTTAACTCTGTAATGACAAATGTTCAGAGTGCGGTTGTTTAGTCCGTCATTTCCTTTGGATAGATCATGTAGGTGAATTTAAAGTCATTTGTGGTGCCTTTCTCTGTCACTCTTAACAGTTTGGACCAACATTCAAATTCCAGTGCGAGGTTTCAGTGAAGGATTTAATACAAACTATTAAAGAGCTAATATTTTTTCTCTGTGTGTGTTATGTACATGTCCCTGTTGTATTAACAGGTGTTTTAAAATCATACATTTGTGTTCATTCCTATCACTAGAGGGCAGTGCCAGTTTTGGAAGGAATTTTTAAAGAATGTCCTGATTATGAATTTAGTGACATTTGCTTCCAAAACTCGTATTTTTCATAGTACACGAATGATGTTGAATGTATTTTTATGCTGACAGTAATGTGAGTGCCTGAATTTCTTGTCGGATCAAAATCTTTTCTGCATCTTGCTGTGGTTGTAGTTGTATATCTGTGCAGCTGGTTACATCAGCAGCCTCCTTCACACTGCCTGTTGTCTCACAGTGACATGGTGATGTCCTCACTGCTGCAGGGCGCAGGATGGGGGGGGGGATTAACATCACTAGTTTTGGGTCATAATACAACAGTCAGAATGGTACAGCTTGAGGTTATTTTGAATCATCTCTTGTTTTTCTTGAGGAAATCCTCCCTTTTTCATTTCAGTCAAGATCTCATAGCAGGTGGCAAGAGCTCACCCAGCTCTCCTCTTGACTGAACTAAACCCGTAGTAGCCGAGTGACGGCTTTGATCTGCCTGTTGATTAATACCGCGGCACAAAATGAACTGTGCTCGCTGTCTCACAGGGACACGTGTGAATGCCTACTCAGTTTACAGCATGGCACCGGCTCGGCTTACCGGAATCTGTGTCAGTTGACTAAGCCGTTTTGCGTAACACATTCAGTGACCACACTGAATAAAACTGTGAGAGGATGAGGTTGGCAAATGTACACCATGTTCCAAATGTAAAGAAAAGGTGATATGTATGGGATTTCAGCTTTTTTTAGTCCTAGAAGCAGCCTTCTTTTAAGTTCAACCTTGCTGAACAGGCCTTACATCCCTGCTTTTGTCACACGTTACTGTGCCACACTGGAGCAGGGCAGATAACTTAAGTAATGGCTTTTGCCTCAGCAGGTAGCATAATGTATCGCTTTTTACATTTCACAACTGCAGAGCAACAAATTAAATCTCTCTCTGTAAAACTCAACCTATCAACATTTAAACAGAAAACGTGAAGAAAGATCTGAAACAGCTGAAGTTGCACATAAAGTTTTGCTACAGTTTTCTGTGCACCGAGAGGAAAGAAGGCATTTAATAGAACTAGAGCAACTGCCCCTGATGTAGAGCAAACATGAAATGTTGAAATAGATTGGATGATGTGTTTTGTTTCAACGTGAGGAGCAGTGACGTGGAAAATTGATTTTAAAAAACAAGAACTAAATCATAAGGCAAGCTGAAAGGAAAATGTTGGATGTGACTGTACAAGTATGAGAAGGAGAAGGTTATACAGTCACGACAAAAGAAATTGGACATTTGTGCACAAACATGAGGAATAAATGCATGACAAACAGAAGGACCAACACTGGTAATACTGGTGTCTCATGCAGGCAAGTCGCTTAAAACTCTGGCCAGCTGTCCAAACAGGACGAAACTGAATTCAATAACTGAGGAACTTATGAGCTACATTCATTTAGAAAGAGTTTAGATATGTGATTAAATCTGAGCATTCATAAGATGAGGTATGTCAACTTCATTATTTCAAAAATGTTTGGGATGTTTCTCCCATGGGGCCCTTAAGACGACTTTATGATACCATCTATTTGGGGAGGATAAGTGTGAGTTTGAATGTTATTAACCAACAAAGTTGGTTATATCTAATGATGTTTTTTTTAGTTCATTGATAACATAGCCTGTTTTAAGAATGCACCAGTATTTGGTGGTATTATGCACAAGACAATGTCAAGACAGCAGACACAACACAACAGCAGAATATTTGACATCAGAACTTTTTTGAAACAATTCTGAAATGTAAAAGTTCTAGTTCATGTGTAAGGGACAAATTATTTACATTGCAAGCCAACTAAACCAAACTTTTATCCCAGAATGTGTTTTTCTTCATCGCTGCCATACTTTGTTTCACCCTGACCTTCTTCCCTCTTTGGGCCTCGATGTTTCAGTTCCCTCCTCCTGGAACGGCTATGCTGCTCCTTCAGGGAATTCCTCCTGCAGAGAGGAATAATGCTCGGGACCAGTGGGGGTGTGTGTGTGCGTGTGTGTGCGTGCATGTACAATACAGTGCAGGCTCTTTGATGGCAAAAGAGGAGGATGGGCAGGTGGCCCAAGTATGTTTATGTGTGTAGGAGAGGGGACACTTTGTGAACTTCTTCTGTAAAAACTTTCTCAGATGATTGAAGTCTAGCGAGGATAACAAACATCGTCCCCCTGGTATGACAGATGTCTCCTCTTGATATATGCTTCAGAAACTCCCTGATTACTCTAGCTTACCGAGTCATTATGTAACATTTACTGTTGCTGACAATATGCCGTTTTGTTTTCAACTGATGTGTCCTATTCGGTTCTGTAAAATGAAATTGGACTATATTTTCCTAAGTGTTGCTTTCTGTTGACTAAAGCAGCTTGTAAAACAATCCATCTCCATGTCAAACTAACTCCACTGATGAAGACAGTGTGATATGGTTGAAAGCAAAGAAACAAGTACAATTTGAGTTGGGATTGTTAAACTACATTACATTACAGTCATTTAGCAGACCCTTTTATCCAAAGCGACTTACAATCCAGATTCTATCACATTTCTACACCGTAGGCACAGCTACGGGAGCAATTTTGGGGTTAAGTGTCTTGCTCAAGGACACATCGACATGCGACTAGCGGAGCCGGGGATCGAACCACCGGTCCTCTGATTGAAGGACGGCCCTGCTCTCCACCTATAGCCAACTACAATTTTTCAAGCTTGCATATCAACAGATCCATCTCTAGCACCACTGACCATTGATGAAGACCATGTTATACAGTTGAAAGCTCTGGAAAAAAAGCTAGTAGCTAGTTGGGTTTGTTGTGTCACATCACAGAAAATGATTTACATTTTTTTCTTTTAAATCACTGATTCAAAAGAAACGTGTGTCCATTTGTAAATGTTGAGGGATCAATTATAGGGTTATAAAAAAAATGACTCTCCCCGAATAACCAGGTAAAAATCATAAAGTGAAACCAATGCTGAAAATGTGGAAAAGAAAATAAGCAATTTAATGACTGTTGAGATATTTGATATGGATCATATTCCTCTCATTTTTATTTAATAATAGTATTAATGGAAACAAACCCGATGAGCAGGCATGTCATTTTCTTTAACACCTACAAACTGATTGATGCCTGCAGTCACCAAAGCATGCGCCAAGTATTGTCAGTGTTAGCTGACGTTCACGCAGCGCGACTCTGAGTCACCACCACACTCGATTCACAGGGCTTTAATAAACCTTCACCAAACAGCCTATGGTCCGATACATAAAGCACCATCTCACTGAAACCAGCTCTCGGGTAATTGCATAACCACGTACAGTGGGTACGGAAAGTATTCAGACCCCTTTACATTTTTCACTCTTTGTTTCATTGCAGCCATTTGCTAAAATCAAAAAAAGTTCATTTTATTTCTCATTAATGTACACTCAGCACCCCATCTTGACAGAAAAAAACAGAAATGTAGAAATTCTTGCAAATTTATTAAAAAAGAAAAACTGAAATATCACATGGTCATAAGTATTCAGACCCTTTGCTGTGACACTCATATTTAACTCACATGCTGTCCATTTCTTCTGATCCTCCTTGAGATGGTTCTACTCCTTCATTGGAGTCCAGCTGTGTTTAATTAAACTGATTGGACTTGATTAGGAAAGGCACACACCTGTCTGTATAAGACCTTACAGCTCACAGTGCATGTCAGAGCAAATGAGAATCATGAGGTCGAAGGAACTGCCCAAGGAGCTCAGAGACAGAATTGTGGCAAGGCACAGATCTGGCCAAGGTTGCAAAAGAATTTCTGCAGCACTCAAGGTTCCTAAGAGCACAGTGGCCTCCATAATCCTTAAATGGAAGAAGTTTGGGATGACCAGAACTCTTCCTAGACCTGGCCGTCCAGCCAAACTGAGCAATCGTGGAAGAAGAGCCTTGGTGAGAGAGGTAAAGAAGAACCCAAAGATCACTGTGGCTGAGCTCCAAAGATGCAGTAGGGAGATGGGAGAAAGTTCCACAAAGTCAACTATCACTGCAGCCCTCCACCAGTCGGGGCTTTATGGCAGAGTGGCCCGACGGAAGCCTCTCCTCAGTGCAAGACATATGAAAGCCCGCATAGAGTTTGCCAAAAAACACATGAAGGACTCCCAGACTATGAGAAATAAGATTCTCTGGTCTGATGAGACCAAGATCGAACTTTTTGGCGTTAATTCTAAGCGGTATGTGTGGAGAAAACCAGGCACTGCTCATCACCTGCCCAATACAATCCCAACAGTGAAACATGGTGGTGGCAGCATCATGCTATGGGGGTGTTTTTCAGCTGCAGGGACAGGACGACTGGTTGCAATTGAAGGAAAGATGAATGCGGCCAAGTACAGAGATATCCTGGAAGAAAACCTCTTCCAGAGTGCTCTGGACCTCAGACTGGGCCGAAGGTTCACCTTCCAACAAGACAATGACCCTAAGCACACAGCTAAAATAACAAAGGAGTGGCTTCGGAACAACTCTGTGACCATTCTTGACTGGCCCAGCCAGAGCCCTGACCTAAACCCAATTGAGCATCTCTGGAGAGACCTGAAAAT